AGGAATGGGAGGGGGAGTTGAAATGGTTTGCGACTGTGAGGTGCAGTGGTTTATTGCGAACTGAAAACAACTGCACCTCCCAGTCGCGAACCATTTCAACACCCCCTCCCATTCCTCAGACGACATGTCCATCCTGGGCCTCCTGCAGTGCCACAACGATGCCATCCGAAGGTTGCAGGAACAGCAACTCATTCCGCTTGGGAACCCTACAGCCCAATGGCATCAATGTGGATTTCACAAGCTTCAAAATCTCCCCTCCGCCTACCGCATCCCAAAACCAGCCCAGCTCGTCCCCGCCTCCCTAACCTGTTCTTCCTCCCACCTCAAGCTGCACCCCCATCTCCTACCTACTGACCTATCCCCTCCCTAACTCCCCACCTACACACCTTTACTGGCTCCATCCCCGCCTCTTTGACCTGTCTGTTTCCTCTCCACCTATCTTCTCCTCTATCCGCCTCCCCCTTCTCCCTATTTATTTCAGATACCCCTTCCCCTCCCCCATTTCTGATGAAGGGTCTAAGCCCAAAACGTCAGCCTTTTTGCTCCTATGATGCTGCTTGGCCTGTAAGGTTACCTCCGAGTACAGTGGGATCTTGATCAAATGGACCAAAGAGTAGCAGATGGAGTTTAATTTAGGTAAATGTGAGGCACTGCATTTTGGAAAGGCAAATCAAGGCAGGACTTACACAATTAATGGTAAAGTTCCTGGGGAGTGTTACTGAACAACGACACCTTGGAATGCAGGCTCATAGTTCCTTGAAAGTGGAGTCACTGGTAGATGGGATTGTGATGAAGGCACTTTGTATGCTTGCCTTTATTGGTCAGTGAATCGGGTATAGGAGTTGGAGGTCATGTGGTTGTACAGGATATTAGTTAGGCCACTTTTGGAATACTGCATGCAATTCTAGTCTCCTTGCTATAGGAAGCATGTTGTGAAACTTGAAAGTGTTCAGAAAAGATTTACAAGCATGTTTCCAGGGCTGGAGGTTTTGATCTATAGGGAGAGGCTGAATAGACTGGGACTATTTTCCCTGGTATGTCAAAGGCTGAGGAGTAACCTTGCAGAGATTCATAAAATCATGAGGGGCATGGATAGGGTAAATAGACAAAGTCTTTTCCCTCGGGTGGGCAAATCCAAAACCAGAAGGCACAAGTTTAAAGAAGAGAGAGGGAAAGATTTAAAAAAAAGGGACCTAAAAGGCAACTTTTTCCACACAAAAAGGTGGTGTGTGCATGGAACGAGCTATCAGACGAAGTGGAGAAGGCCATTGCAATTAGAACATTTAAAAGGCATCTGGATGGATATATGAATAGGAAGGGTTTAAGAGGGAAATGGGCCAAATGGGACTAGAGATTTATCTATGCCAATCAGATATCATAGACGAGTTAGACGCTGTACATCTCTATGACTCTATGACCACACCTGGAGTTCTGCATGCAATTTTTTTGGTCTCCTTACTGGAGGAGGAATGCAGTTTGCACTCTCGTATGAAGAGACACTCATCAGTTTAGGCCCATACTCTGGTGTTTAGATGAATAGGGGATATCTAATTGATCGCTAAGGGCATTGACAATGTAGACATAGGGTGTTTCAGGTCATAGTTTAAGGATAAGGGGTATCAGGTTTCAAATAAGGATGAGGAGAAATTCTGTCTTTCAAAAGGGGCATGAATCTGTGAAATTCAATACTTCAGAATATGGCAGATGTTAGGACACCAAATAAAATTTAAAAAGGAAGATAGCTTGATCTTTAAATAGTAATGAGTTGAAAGACAATAGGAAGCAAGGAGAAGAGCAGGGTTGAATCCAAGATGAGAACAACTATGATCACGTGGAGCAGGCTTCAGGAGCTAAATTGCCCACTCCTGCTCTTATTTCTTATGGTGTCTTTATGAGAGAGGAGGATAATTTATTCTTATACAACAGCGAGTTAGAATGATCCGGAATGCAGTGCCCAAACAGACAGAGCAGATTCAGCTGTTAAATCAAGCAATTGGATACATACTTAAAACAAAAGGAGGTCTACAAAGCTATGGGGAGAAAAGGAGAATGGGACAAACAATAGTACTTTCATAAGCCAACACAGATGTTGTCCTGCAAGATTTTGAGATTCTCCTTTTCCCAGGCTGTACTACTTATCCAGAAAAGTGAAGCTGGGTTGAAGATGATCCAAACCTTTAATGCTCACCAACAAGGCAGCTTGAAATTAGCCAATAAGAAATATATTTTCCAGGTACACTGATAGTGGCAACACTTACTGGTTTCACAAGTCATTTCTGCTCCAACACCAGTAGTTGCTTAATAAGCAAGCAGCCACATAGTCTTCGAGGGTCAACATTACCACTGCCAACCAATCCTCTTTTACCAGAGCCCATACAAGTAATCTGTAACAAGGATCTCCCAAAAGAATGAGAATTTGAGTACGTTTACTCATTCTTTAGCCTAAAGATGAAGTAATGACCAATACCTGCCATCATGTAATGTTACAGTACAGAGGCAAACTTTTTTGGCCTCTCTAGCCTGTAGCAGCACTTTGAAAGAGCCATTTAATTAGTCCTAAATTCTTGGCCTTTTCCTCCATCTTGCAAGTTTCTCCTCCTGAGAAAACTACCAATCCAATTCCCTTTATATACAATGTTATTGTTGCTTCCCCTACTTTGTCAGCGCATTTCAGTTCACAATAACTTGCTTCATTGTTTTTTAAAAAAAACAAGTATTTTTCATCACCACCTTAAATGTTTTCTCTGGTTATGGACTCTTCAACAGCAAAGTTTGTCCCTATTCACTTTAATAAACCGTTATGATTTTTGAGCACCACCATCAAATCTCTTCTTAACCTTCCGTTTCAAGGAAAATAATCCCAATTTTTCCCCAGCATGTCCACATAAACTGAAGTTTCTCATTGCTGGCACCTTTCAGTAGGTTTTTTACCCCCCTTGCACCTGCTTCAAGGCTTTGGACATCCTTCCAAAAAGGTATCCTGCCCAGAATAGCCACCATACTTCAGAGTCCAAAACAGTTTTTTTTGTAAATCACAAAAAGAGAATATGGCACAACTTAACTGATGTGAACTTACTGTGAATTTTAGAACATCCTAAAACGTATCTGGTTCAGTAAAAAAAAAAAAAACAAAATAAAGTGATTAGATGGTCTTAAAAGTCAAAACATTGTGTGCATGTGGTGATAATTTCTGCTGTCAAGAACGTAAGCAGATTTGTGGACCTCAAACAAAATCACTCAGAATTTGCTGCAGTCTGAGGAGTGGTATGTCCAAGAGATGGTAATTGATGTGTTGGTTTTTGGAAAGAACCAGATTTATTCACTAAGTAGACTGTCTCACCTCAAATGGATGGAAGAATTGAGGAGTCTGCAGGAGCAGCATCTCATGTTCATTGTGGAATCCTTTCCCTTTGCAGCCACCGCACAGGTCGTAGTCAGGGCAGACAGTGCACTTGTAGCGAGGACCAACCACAGGGCCATTACAGGCATCACAGACAATGTTTGGGTGAACTGCCCCAGTTCCTTTCTCCTGGCCATGTTTGCATTCCTTCTTGTCTAGGGTTGTAAAAATTAAGGAGTGAGAGAGAGAGAAAACATTTGTCATTGCATGGAAAGGCTAGAAAAAGTATTTCTTTGGGAATAGTCACATAGCTCAATCAATGATTTAATGTTTACAAATTAGCTTAGAACCAAGGCTTCATTAGAAATAGCCAGACTGCACCTTTGTTCATCAATTTTTATCAGGGTTGCTAGCAGATAACAAAGGAACAATTAAATCTCTTTAAACTCAAAATCTAAAATCCCCAATTACGTCACCATGGGTAATAGTTATAATAACCGTGCTGGGCCAGCCTGAATTAATCAAATCAACATTTGAATTCAGTTTCAGGACATCTGAAATCTGAATACTGGTCTAAGTAAAAAAGGTGACCACGTAGACATTAAGATTGTCTTTTAAGACCAACTGGCACAGTGACATCTCCAAGGGAAGGAAACCAGGCCTCCCAATCCGATTTGGGCCTATAGTCAAATCCTTTGATACACTAACGTGGTTGACTTTAAATATGTTTGTTGCCAATTTCAATTGTCACCCAACTTTAAGTGCTTAAGCTCCAACAAAACAAGCTTGTCATGAATGGAAATAGAATAATTACAGAATTAAATCACCCGTGATTTATAATAATAATAAGGCTGGCCATTAGATAATTGAGAAAGCAACTTCCTGCGCAAGTATTCAAAAAGTTGCCAAATCTGAATAAGGGTAACGGCCCAAACCAAAAAAAAAAAGAAAATTGTGGAGCACTGCTTTGGATTCATGATTACTCAGAACTGACAAGTATCTCTTTTGGAAGGGAAGGAAGGCTTGAAAATTGGATTATATATTGTTCATTCTCCAAGTTAGTTTAGAAAGAAGAGAAATGTGATCATATCCCACTCAACAGAATTTTGCAACCTTTAGAGTAGAGAAATCTTTAACAAATATTTAAGTGACTGATTGGAAGATGGTATGTTTACATGACACTCTTCACAACATCACAAGCTGCTTTACAAAATACTTTGAAGTACAGCTGTATTCAATTAACAATTTGTTACTAGATTCATTGAGAGTATTGCTACCAATATGTTGCAGGTAATGAAAACATACAGCAACTTCAGTTTTAGGAGATATACAGCCCTCTGCCAATTCCAAGTGCTGCCCATGATTAAACAGTTTACTATAAACACTAGACTTTGTGCTAAAGTCTTTCTTCTACACATAGTTACGCCCAATGGCAACACGGTATGCAGCTAATGGACTAATTTTATAAAGAGCAACCAGTGGTCTTACCTTTGATGTAGATGCGAAAGGTCCCTTCCTTAAGGAAGGACAAAGCCATCATCAGCTCATCATCACTGGAGAATGCAATCATGTCCCCTTCCTCATCTGAAGAAAATACCATATATTCAGCTTGAAGGTTCAACTCAGACTTTAAAGTTAAGTAACAGACAGATTTAAACAAAAACAACAAATCAGGTAGGCAAAATGTTAACCTTTATGGCTAGGGAGGAGAAGAGGAGAAAACTCAGTACAATCATATGGCTTTGGGTGAGACCATATCTGGAGCACAGTATACAGTTTTGCCCACCAAATGAAGGCTTCCTAGATCAATTCCTGGGATAAGACATTTGTCCCACGAGAAGAGACCATGTAGAGGAGTCTATACTTTGTGGTGAACGAGAGGGAATTTCATTGAAACAAAAAAAGAAAGAGAGACCGTTTGATAACAGTAGAGGCAGACAGGTCATTTTTTTTTTCTTGGCTGGGAACCAAGGGTTATGGTCTCAGGATCAGGACTGCATTTCTCCTGAATGCAGTCATTCAGAGGGTTGTGAATCGTTAGCACCTGACTCTCACTATTCACCCATCATTCCTTGACTTGGAAAAAAGGAACTAGAGCTTATGGGAAAACGCTAACTCTTCAAAAAAGGTTCTCTTTTTAAAAAAAAAGGTTTATTTTACAGTTTGAAGACACTGAACCCTTCTGACTGCAAGCCCAATCTGACAGTGATGTTGTATGCAAAAAGCTACACATTGAGCCAGACAAAAATTCAATAGCAATGGAGTCTTGTAGACATCAGGTGTCACTGTTTCCAATTTAGATCAGTTAGTATAGTACACACCATTTGTCTCATTAAGCAATAAGTAGGAGCAGGAAAAGACAATTAGGCCTCTTCAGCCTACCTCCCCATTTAATAAATCATGGTCAATCTTCTATTTCAGCTCAGTGACAGGTATCAAAAAAATTTTACACGCCATGAGCAAATTGGGAAATCTTTTGTATAACATTGCTTCCAAAGGGCAGCAACAGTGTAGCACTTCCTAGAGTATTAAAGTGTCATCACAATTTATTTGTTTAGATTTTGAAATAGAGCTTTAATTGAGAGATTGCTACCAACTGGTAAAGATTGGTATCTGACAGGGAGCAGCACTATACAAATTAGAAACAGAAATACGTCATACAGTCCTTAGAGCCTCAATTAAGTCATAGCTTATCTGTTGGTTTTGAATGCCACATTCCAAACTACTCCAACAGCTTTTGATTCTATTGCCCAAGTAGAATCTATCTACCTCCACCTTACAAATAGTCAGTGACCTTGCCTCCACAACCTCTTATAAAGGAAGACGACATCTCAGAGGTAGGCAATTGGGCCATTGTGTCTGCTCTGCCATTCACTAAGACCATGGCAGAATTGATAACAACCCAAAACATTAACTCTGAATTCCCTCCAAAGATGCTGCCAGAACTGCTGAGCTTTTCCAGCAATTATGTTTTTTTTTGTTTCTGATAATCCTTAATTCCACTTTCCTCCCCATAACCCTTGATTCCCTTACTGATTGAAAACCTGCTAATCTCAGCCTTGAATATATTTAATAACCCAGCCTTTATAGCCCTCTACAATAAAGAAGTAGAGTATTTCCACAGATACACAGCCCTCAGAAGAAATTCTTCCTCATCTTTGTCCTAATCGGGCAACCGTTTATTCTTGAGGTTATGTCCTCTGGTTCTAGACTCTCCCACAAGGGAAACAACCATTCTGCAGTGATCCTGTGAAGTTCTCTAAGAATCATGTACATTTCAATTCAGGTTTCTCTTATTCCAAAAATTTCCAATGAGTACAAGCCCAACCTACTCAACACTTCCATATGCAGAATCAATTTAGTGATCCTCCTCTGGACTACCCATGCCAGTATGATTTTTAGGTAAGGCAACCAAACTATTCATGCTATTCTAATCTAACTAGTGCCTCATTTAGATTACCTTCACTTCCTATGTTTACACACCATTCCTTTGAAATAACAGCCAAAAATTCACTTAACCTCCCTATTACCTGCTGATTCTTTTGTGCTAGTTAGTTGTAATTTATGTAATGAGAACCTCCAAATCTGTCTCCACTGCAACATTCTCAATGCAAGTAATCTTCTCAGACAATGTTCCAGACTTGTACAACTTTCAGACAGAAACCCTTCTCATCTGTCCTAAAAGCACAACCCCTAAACTTATAATCAAGAGACCATTAATTCTGCACTCACCTACAAGAAGGAACATCCTTTCCACATTCTATCAAAGTCTATTTAAAATCTTTGAGACTTCAATCAGGTGACCCCTCACTCTTAACTCCAGGGGAAAGAAACTCAGTCTGTCCAACCTTTCCTCAGAAGGCAGCCTACAAATTCCAGATGTAAATCTAGTAGACATCCTCTAAGTTTGTCAACATATTTATGATGTTCCTCGAATGAAACCAAAACTGCACACATTATCTGAGATATGGTCTCAATGCTCTATGTAACTGAAGCATTATATCCTTACTTTTATGTTTGGCTCTTCATTTTAAAAGAAGGATAGCATCCCATTCACTTCTTTAAAGTGACTTGCTGTGCCTGCATACTAACTTTCTGACTCAAGCACAAGAACACCTAGATCTCTCGGCATCACAATTCTGTAGTCAGTCATTCTCCACATAAGTAATACACCACTTTAAAGATCCTTCCTGCCAAAAAAAGTGAACAACTTTATATTTTTCCCACATTATACACTATCTACCAGATTTTTGCCCTTTAAAAGGCCTACCACCACTTCTCTATTGATCTATCACATATCCTGTTACCACAGTTCACTATTCATGCCTTTGAGCTATTCTCCCTTTTAAATTAAATGTGGAATTCAATCATATTGTCATCACTGCTGTCTGGATGTACTTTTACTCTAATCATGAATTAATCCGGTCACATTTCACAGTAGCAATTCTCATATAACCTACTTTTTGTTTGGTTCCAGAATATCCTGCTCTAAAGAGACTACTACTGAAATGCTCTTCCCACTAGAGACATACTGCCAAAGCCCAGAATAGTAATTATTCCTCTTTTTCCATGAGGGTTCCATGCCTTAGGACCCCCGAGAGTGAAGAGATTCACGATTGTGGTGCTCATTAAAAATAGGTTAAAGTAGATAAAAATGTTCCAGATGAGAGTTTTGCCCATGGATATTTATATTAGTTGTTACTCTTTTGGACACAGATAGGAGAATTCACAATGTGATTTTGCAGATACAGAGGATTTACATAAAGGTAAGCAGGGTGGTATTATTGTTAAGAGACAAAGACAGAAGTTGCTGAAAAAGTTCAGCAGGTCTGGCAGCATCCGTGAAGAGAAAAGTCAGAGTTAATGTTTCAGGTCTGCTGACCCTTCCTCAGGTTTTTAATAATAGCAATCAATCATTTATGGGCAGGGTCAGTACTATGTATTTATGGTGTACTGTATACAATTCTACCAAGTACACCAAGGCCTTGGAGACCGTACAGAGGTGGTTTACAGAATGAGACCCGAGATAAAGGACTTCAGTTATGTGGAGAAATTAGCGAAGCCACAATTGTTAGTCCGAGAGTGAGAGAATGATGCTAATGGGAAATCTAGACATGTTTAAAAAAACACTTACCACAGCTTAGTGCGTGTGCATTGGGGGGGGTGCATGCACAGAAGTTTGAAACAATAATCAAAAGGTCAAATATTTCAGACAAAAAGAAACCAAAATCAGCAGGGCAAGAGAGGGAATGAGGCGAAAGCATTTTATTTACAAGAAATGTTATATTGATCTTAAAGGGTGGTAAAATCAGATTCTACAGGCTACAAAATCAAAGTTCATTGCAGGAATAGAAAATAAAGCTGAAGTTCACATTAGGAACTATTTCTTGTGATTGTGTGGGGGAAAAAAAAAGAAAAAAAAAAGAAATTAATTGAAGCTAGGTCATTCAAAAGGTGACATAAGAAAGCACTTCTTCATAGTAGTGGAAATTTGAAATACTCTGTCCCAAAAATCTGTATGACTTCCAGAGGTCAATTAAGAGCTTTTAAGAAGCAACTCACTACATCTCCTCTGACAGTACCTTCCAAACCCTTGACCACTAGCATTCAGAAGGATAACGGCAGCAGACACACTGCCAGCTGCAAGTTTCCCGCCCCCTCCAAGCCTCTCACTATCCTGACTTGGAACTATATTGCTATTCTTTTACTGTGACTGGGTCAAAATCCTGACACTCCCTTCCTAACAAGACGGTGGATGTAATTACAGCCAGAGGACTGAAGCAGTTCAAGAAGGCGATACACTACCACCTACTCCCGATGGATTAGAGACGAACAGTAAATGCTGCCTTAGTTTGCGATGCCCACATTCCATCATAAAAATGGATCAAGTGTACAATATTAACCAGATAGTATAAAATGCACGAATATAAAAATAACTGAAAACGTCAGAAATATTCCCGATTGTTCTGAAATAAGAGATTTTTTCCGCTACGCCAAACCAAAAAAAAAAGACTCAGCAAGCATCGATCAGTTGTCTTATAGACGACAATAAGAAGTAGATGTCAAGGGAGGTGATGCTAGCGTTGAAGAGAGTCTGTTCAGGGAATTTCCGCATTCTGCGCTAGTCTTAGGGCTGACCGACAGATGGGGCTTTGAAAAAAAAACAAAATTTGGCTCGTTTTGTTTTAAATCATAATGACAGAGACCTTCGGCTTTCCCAACAATTTCACAATTTTGATCCCCTAGAATTTAAAAAAGTAGTGGAACTGTAGGTCAGGGAACACGTTTAGCGAGCGGTGGCAAATAGCAAGCAGTTTTTTAAAAAAAAAATTATCGCAGAATCGCAAGAGTTGCCTTTTACCGACCAGCATATTAAACTGTCATTTAGTCACAAGAGCATGAGTTTGGAAGGGACATAAAAACAAACAAAACACTATCTGGAAAATTTGGCCACACAGAACTTAGTTCCAAGTCTCCCCAGGAGTGGGGCAAGAGTCGGGTGCGATTACCTTTGTAATACATCTGAAAGTTCTCGGACCGAAGAGACTGGAAGACACTGGCCACCTTCTTGTACAGATGCTCGAAGCTGGTGGAGACGCCATGGTCGACGGCGAAGCGGCGGATCTCCCGGTTTACCTCGTCTTTCCCCAGCAGGTAAGCCTTCACGTTAAAAGCCATGGCTCGGAATCGATGAGACGGCGTGCGACTGCCTACCTCGTTCAGTTACTATGTGCCGAGTAACTCGCTACTTTTGTGGCGAAAAGATTCTCGATGTCGCAGCAGGAAATTGACACACAATCTCGCAAATTTCCTCTTCTCACTACCCAAAGGCAGACTGTAACCCGAGTGTTCCGTGCCGGCCTTATATACACACTCCCCGCCCCTCGAGCAGCGGCTGTTACTCAGCACAAAGCCTGGCCTTCTTTTCCGTGCTTCATCTCCGAGACCCACTCCTTCTGTATACGGAGCTGACGTCGCTTCCGTATTCCTAACGAAGGGGGGATCGTGACCATCGACAGGGATTTCGCGCAGCGCCGACTGTACAACAGGCTTTTTATTTAGTTTTTATCTAGTACAACAGGCTTCGCCTTTCGTTCAGGCTATCCCGTCACCATGGAGATCTGTTCCGAGCACAGTAATATTTATTTCTCAACTTCTTTCGAAGTGGTTACTATTACCTTATTTTGCAGAAATAAAAAAAATCACAGCCAAGGTTGTTGGGTGGGAAAAAAAGTTTCCCTTTGTGGGGAGATGCTGACCAGTAGTTTCAGACAGTCATTACAATTTTACAAAAAATGGAATTCGAGAGAAACTGATGAGAATTTAGGAGATTTAGAACCACAAAAAGTAGTTGAGTGCGAAAGAAACAAAATACATGAAACATGATGGTTAATAGGGCTGGAGGAGGTTGGAGTTCCCCGGGGTCAATGTTGGGACCCTTGCTTTTGCTAATATATTTTAGTAACTTCGAATTTGGTGCACGGGTCACAATTTTCAAAATTTGCCAATTATACAAAATTTGGAAACATTGTAAACTGCCAAGAGGAGGATGTAGAACTTCAGAAGAACATTGACAAGTTGGTGGAGTGGGAGGGCTGTTGACAGATGAAGTTGAATGCACAAAAGTATGAGGTGATTCATTTTGGCAGGAAGTACATGGAAAGGCAACATAAACTACAGGGTACTATACTAAAGGGGCTGCAGCAGAAGGACTGGGTGTTTAAGTCACTGAGGTCACATGACAAGTTGAGTGATCCCCTGCCAAAGCATTCTGTATCCTAGGTTTTATTAATAGGGCTATAATGTAGAAGAGGTTAGATTGAACTTGTATAAGACACTAGTTTGGCCTCAGTTGGAGTATTGTTTCCAGTTCTCAGTGTTGCATTTTAAGACTGATATAAAGGCATGAAAAGGAGTGCAGAAAAGCTCACGGAAATAGTTCCAGGGATGAGGAACTTCAGTTATGAAGATAGATTGGAACAGTTAAGATTGCTACCCTGGAGAAAGAAGACTTGAGAAGTCTGAAGTGTGAAATCTACATCCAGATCTGCCCATGTATTTATTTCCATCTCTGCAACCTTCTCCAAACTTACACTGCACCCCATGGGAGAATTTACTGTTGGAAAGAGCGTCTTACCTGCTGGCTGGCCATTGCCTACGGTGGGGGAAGCTCCACCAGAATGAATTACCCATCAAACAACTTACTAGCCAGTGCTCAGCTTTCCCAGGGATGTAGGACATCTTGACACATTAACTGCACCATCCTAGTAGTGCCTGCCAACCAGAGGTTGACATTTCTCCATTGACTCACTAGAGGTGGCGGCTGCTGCTAGAGGAGCACTTACTAGATACTGGATTGATGATAAATCCAGTTGGGATGAGTGTCAAAGAGAGGGGCTTTCAGTGGAAAGGGCAGGTGGGCAGGCTTGGGCTCCTATATTTATTTAGAAGAGAATGGAACAAAGTTTAGTGGTTTGATTCCTGAGATGAGTGGGTTGTACAATGAGGAGATAGAGTATAATACATATATATTATTGATTTTAGAAGAATTTGAGGTGATAATTGAAATGTATAACAATTTTGCTGGTTTTGACCTGGTAGATAGTAAGATGCTATAAGACCCTGGCTGCAGGCTTATCCTAAAACAAAGTATCAGGATAAGGAGTTGTCCACTTAGGACTGAGATAAGGAGAAATATCTGCACTTATAGGGTTGTGAATCTTAGGAATTCTTTACCCTGGCAGGCTGTGAATTCTCTGACAATGAGTATGTTCAGTATGTACATATACAGATTTTTGTGGACAACATGGAATCAAGGAATAAAAGGGTAGGGCAGCAAAGTTGATGTGATCCCGACAAATAGCAGAGTGGACTCCATGGGTTGTTGGTCTGCTTCCATTTCTTATGTTCACTCATTGTCATGCCTACATTTGCATGCTTCTACTGCTTTAGTGAACTTCAGAAAACATAGATCTCTGCATTTACACCCACAGCATCATGAAAAGCCACAGGAGATCTATCACCACTTCTCTTGTTTACAGGATGCAGAGAATATTCTGGCAGCAATTATTACTCCATCCCTAGCGGGGAAATTAAGAGACAAGCAGAAGGTGCTGTAACTGACTCATCTGCAGGCCAGGCTGGTTTCCTTCTGTAAATAATTCGGGGAGCTTTTCAGGATGTTTGTTTTTCTGGTGCAAACCCCCAAATAACCAAATCTATTGAATTCAAATTTTCCCTAATATAGCTATTTCTCAACTGCTAGTGCATGATTATATCGACTGCACTACTGTACCCATTTTATGATGAGTTATAAAACAAAATATTGTGGATGCTGGAAGTCTGAAATAAAGACAAAATGCTAGAGAAACTCAGCAGGTCTGCCTGCATCTGTGGAGAGAGAACAGACTTAACATTGAGTTTGTGGACTTCCTCAGTGAAGAAGTCGTGTCAGGTCAAAATATTAACCCTGTTTCTGTCTCCACAGATGCAGCCACACCTTATGATCAGTTAGGCTGACCAACTAATTATGTGGAATATTGCAGACTTGTCTGGCCCAGGTTTCAGTATAGTAACTGTATCACAGAGGCCTGACTGTGTCCAGTTTGGCTCAGTGGGTAGCATTCTTTCTGCTGAATCAGAAGGTGATGGGTTCAAGATCCATTCCAGAGTTTTGAGCACAAAGATCTGATGTTGTCGTTCGTAAGGGAGTCTTGCACTGTTGGAGGTGCTGTCTTTTGAATGAGATGTTAAAAATCAATCTGTCTCTTTAAAAAAGAACAGTGGATTTCTTCCCTGGTGTTCTGGCCAACATCTATCCCACAAACAATATCACTAGAACAGTGACTACACTTCATTTGCACCCACTGACTGCAAAGTTCATAAGAACTTGTTGAAGTCGCGAAAAGCATTATAGAAACACAGTCTCATTCTTTTACTTGGATCCAGCTATGTCATCTTGATGCTGGAAGTCAGAAATTAAAAACAGAGAATATGGAAACACTCAGCTGATCAGACAGCATTTTTGGAGACAGAAAAACAAAGTTAATGGGCAGAAATGTTGGTAGTGGAGTGTGGATAGCAAAGCACAAGAGAAAAATAAGTTAAAATGGAAATCTGTAAAGAGAAAGAAAACAAAATGGGGTGGCTATTACTATCTGAAATGGTTGAGCTCAATGTGGAGTTCAGAAGGCAGTAAAGTATCTCAGGGGGTATTGTTAGAATGACATTTATTAGTGTAGTCAGCTTGAGGGTAGGGTGGAGAATTCAATGATGGATAACTGAAAGCTTGGTTTCACTCTTTCAGACTGAGTGAGGTGTATTGGTGTATCATAAAGCAGTCACCAGGTCAAGTAGAGATCATAAGACCATAAGACATAAGAGCAGAAATTAGGCCATTTGGCCCATGGAGTCTGCTCCACCATTCAATCATGGCTGATAAGTTCCTCAACCCCATTCTCCCGCTTTCTCCCCATAACCCTTGATAATCAAGAACCTATCTATCTCAGTCTTAAATGTACTCAATGACCTGGCCTCCACAGCCTTCTGTGGCAGTGAATTCCATTGCTTCACCACTCTTTGGCTGAAGAAGTTTCTCCTTATCTCCATTCTAAAAGGTCTTCCCTTTATTCTAAGGCTGTGCCCTCAGGTCCTAATCTCTCCTACCAATGGAAGCATCTTCCCAACATCCACTCTGTCCAGGCCATTCAGTATTCTGTAAGTTTCAATTAGATCCCCCCTCATCCTTCTAAACTCCAATGGGTATAGTCCCAGAGTCCTCAAACATTCGTCATATGTTAAGCTTCCATTCCTGGGACCATTCTTGTGAACCTCCTCTGAACCTGCTCCAGGGCTAGTACATCCTTCCTGAGATATGGGACCCAAAACTGCACACAATACTCCAAATGTGGCCTGACCAGAACCTTATAAAGCCTCAGTAGTACATCCCTGCTTTTATATTCAAGTCCTCTCAAAATAAATGGCAACATTGCATTTGCCTTCCTGATAAATGACTCAACCTGCAAGTTTACCTTCAGAGAATCCTGGACTAGAACTCCCAAGTCTCTTTGCACTTCAGACTACTGAATTTTCTCCCCATTTAAAAATAGTCCATGCTTTTATTCTTCAATCATGATCTTACTGAATAGTGGGAAGGAGAGAAAGAGAACAACAACTTGTATTTACACAGTGCCTTTAACAAAATAAAATATCCCAAAGCACTCCACAGAGGCATTGCAAAACAAAATATGATACAGCCACATGAGGAAACATTAGAGCAGATGACTAAAAGCTTGGTCAAAGAGGTAAGTCTTAGGAAAAAGGGGGAAGAGAAGTATAGAAAAAGAGGAGAAGAAAATGAGTAAGAAGGACCACAACAGCGACAATAATAGGAAGCCTTTGAATTGTGCCTTTAATACAGTAAAATGTCCCAAGGCACTTCAAAGGTGCACTGGGTACAAACATCAACTCCAAGCCAAATTGGAAAACACAAGGACAGGTGACAAAAAGTTTCAAGAAGCATATTAAAGAAAGAGGGGAATTGGAAAAGTAAAGAGATTTAGCTGGGAAATGTTCAAACTTATGGCCTCAGCTGCAGAGACAAGTCTGCCATTGATGGAAAGAAGGAATCTGCAGAGACACAAGAGGCCAGAATTCCACAAAGGATTGCTGAGCTGAAGGAGATTAAGCAGAAATAGAGAGTGGTGAGACTGAGGGGATTGGACAAAAAGATGAGCAATTTAGAATTGAGGTGTTCCTGGAAAGGGGATCAATGTGAGTATTGGGATGATGGGTGAATGAGGCTTAGTGTGAATTAGGACGTGGGCATCAGAATTTTTGGCATGAGGTTGCAGTAAGCAATGGATTATCAACCAGGAGAATCAGAATAGTGAAGTCTGGAGTTATGAGGCATGGATGAGGGTTTCAGCAGCTGATAGGCTGAGGCAGAGGTGTGGGGAGGTGGCAATATTATGGAAGTGGAATAGGTGGTCCTGGTTGTGGTGAGGATATGGGATAGGAACTCAGTCTGGGTCAAATAGAATGGCAATAGTGCAACCAATCTTGGTTAGCACATGGGAAGATAAGGGAACTGAGTTTAAGACAGACTCGTGACAAAA